TAGCCTTCACACAGGGCAATAAAACAAAATACACCAACATCAAGAAAAATCAACCGACACCACCTCATGTAATAGTAATGTTTAGCTGCTAGATAGTCGACCTGAAATGAGTGATTATTCTCAATGTTTCAGCCATATGGAAGGCCCAAATCATGCTTTGAATCGAAGTTATGCTCCTCTAGATACATCTTGCAGCTCTGAAAACTCCAGAGCTTTACAAATGTCCCAAGGACATTAGTACAATGCCACTATTTCTGAAAAGTAAGTATAATTTCCTTTTCAAATTCTTAAGCTTCAGCTCTTTAGTCTAATAGCTTTAGAGTACATATTTTATTGCTGTGTAATATAAAAATACATAAAACTTAACTTGCAAATATACAAACTTCTTATTAACTCGTTTTCCCTCAAGATATTGTTTTTTGTCCATTTTGTGAAAACTGCTGTTCTAGTAATCTGAATATTTTTGTTCTTTACATTGAACATGGACAAAGAATCTGTAAGATTTCCTATTATCCTCTAAGACCTTCCCACATGTGCCCTATTTCAGCTGTTTTATGAAATTCCTTTCAAACACTTTGTTTAGTGAATTTCTACAATACCAACTGAGGAATACCTTACAAAATCTAATTAACAGCAGCATGCAGCACAAGTGCATAGTCTCAGCCCACAGCTACCTGAGAGGCCAAGGCCAGCACATAGCACCAGCGTGGGCAAGAAAAAGCAAGACTGGCTCAAATAAGACTGATACAACAAACAACAGCAATCTACTTAATGACGTACTTTTTTCAAAGATGAAGAAAAATCTGAAAGGAGGACAGTGGACTATGCCATTTAATATATAATGCCAATACATGAACTTATAAAACCTATTAACCAAATATGAAACAAGTATTAAAAGGTCTCTCTTAAAGGGACCAGTGTTGCAGAATTAGTGTCAGTCACCTTTTCTCATTTTAGATAGAACATGTTCCCATCCTTAGCTTGAACAAGTACCACTATATGAAAACCATGTGCCAACATTTTGTGCCCTGCTCTTTAGTGGTTAACACTGGCAATTTCACAGAACGCCTCATAGCACTGGGTAAAATATGCTTTCAAAGCAAGCTAATTTCAAAGTATAGTAAATTATAACAAATGATCATACTCACTTTTCTGGTTTATTGACTGATTAAAGGAAAATTTCGGTATATGGTAAGCTTGCTTTGTATTTGCACTATTCATTTTGCCCAAACTTTATGATTTTCAAAAAGAAAAAAAAAAAAAAAAAGATTTCCCAGTGTCTTAGATAACGTAGTTCACAGATTTTTAGAATAAAGAATTTTTATGTTCAAATGTGATAGAACATGGCACAGTGGTGGAGAGGGATGTGACATTCTATTTGACTTGAATACCAATCTCCCTCTAATAAGTGTGTGATCTCTGGAATGTAGCTGTGAGGGGCAAAAAAATGGGTGAAATGTTTGGGAGCTGTTTTAGAGAGAGACTTCCAAATTTTCAAGATGAAAAGTTCTGGAGATTAGCTGCACAAACGAATATACCCAATACCACTTAACTGTACATTTAAAAATGGTTAAAATAACATTTTGTTAATAAATATTTATTTGATACAAGATCTTGCTACACAGTTTGGACTCGCAGTGATCCTCCTGCCTCAGCCTCCCCAGTGCTGGGATCACAGGCATGCACCACCACACCCGGTTCCAGTTCTGACATGGCATGCAGTACCAGAGATCAAACTTGGGTCCTTGCGCTTCCAGTGCTTAAGACTGCCGAGCTATCTCGCCCATTAAAAATATTGTGCCATAATTAAAACAAACAAATCTTCTTAAAAAGGAACCAATGGATTATTACTGATTTTGTGAATGTTTTGAAAACAAAACATACAAATAAAAATATATGATTTTCTGATTATAGTTTAGACATGTAAAATAACATTTTAGCTACAAGTGATAAATGCCACACATCATTGTTTGGAGAAAGCTGCTGTAAACTAGATATAGTTTCTGGGCTTGCATTAGAAGAGCTGTATGAGAAAATTACATGAACAGTCTAAATTTACTATGAAAACATTTTTATTAAAATAATTGAAAGTCAAAAACAACAACAAAAGGGAAATTCCACAACCTTTGTTTGCAACTATATAATCTTTATGCAGAAAAACTATAAAGTGACAATCTGATCTGGAAAGTAACTCCACAATTAGCCTAATCCTTATATAATAGTAACTAAATCATGGAATTAGTTCACCCCAAAGAAACTGTCTTCCTGTAGACTATTTCAGCAGGGCTGACTTCAACTATATTACTCTTATTCCTAAAAAAATGTCTTTTCCGATATTTCAAATTGGCAGAGACATATCACACAAGAGCCTACAGAATTAAAAGGATAAAACACAAATATTCCAAACACAATTACATGTGAAAATGAGCAAAGACATTTTATCTATAGATCTGTAAAACTATACAAATTACCACTTATACATACAATCCATGTACACTGAAGTTCTGTGAGGTGGTACTGAGTAAATACCGAGGCATTGAATTTTCAAGTCCAACAAGGCTCACTCTGAGTAGCAGCACATTCCCACCTTTCAATCTAGCATCACAGCCCTTGCCCTGGGATTTGTACTGATGTATTATCTCAGTCCCAGGAAGTTGCTTAAAAAAAAAAAAAAAAAGAGCTAAACAGATACCAAGCACTCCTTTAAATGTATTCCAAAACATGCATGTGAGACCACACTCTGCAAATGTGAGATTTACATTTAACATGTTCCTTTAAACTTGAATGGTGTCTTTACTAATATCTGCACTGAATTTTCTATAATTAGCTTTCCCATTAAAATACACTCAAAGAGAAAAACACAAAAGCTTATTTTTGAAGTGTTCAATCTTAGAAAAGTGATTACTAATGATTTTAAAAAAACAATTTTTTTTGCTAAAGAAATCATACTGTTGGCCTACTGTGGTGGTAAACACCTATAACCTCAGTGCTCAGGAGGCTGAGGCAGGAGGATCACTACAAGTTTAAGGCCAGCCTAGGCCTCAAAATGAGTTCAAAGCCAACGAAAACTTCATAGGAAAACCCTATCGCAAAACAAAACAAACCCAACCAACCAATCATGTTGTTGTCTTCTAATTTATCAATAAATTTTTATATTTTAAGTACATACATGATGTTATCATAGCCATGTAACTCTTCAGAATGTATACTACCATGAAGGCAAGTGTATACAGAATATTTCTAATAAACCTAAATCTGATCCTGATCAAATTTCTTTAGAATCTTTTCAAGCACTCAAGAATATTAAAGTTTGGAGGAGCTGGATGTGATGGCTCCTTCTCCTGAGGCAGAAGGGTCACTGCAAGTTTGAGGCCAACTTGGGCTACAAAGTAGTTTCAAGGCCAGCCTGAATTGTATAGTGAGACCCTATCTCAAAAAGACTTTAAAAAAAAAAAAAAAAAAAAAGTACATTAACTGGAACAAAAGTCTTAGGGAAGCATATAAGAATGGTTTACAATAAGAAATATTAGGTCAGTGTAATTTCTGTGAACTTTAGCAGAAAAGCCAGAAATATTCTGAACCAAATAAAAACATCCTTTTGGATTAGGGCTTTTTGTGGTGTTTGTTAGTTCTTTAATCTCTTAAACATACTACAGTTCAGAGATTCCCATATGCTTACTGAAAGTAATAAGAAAATGCAGTGTTAAATATTCACTAGCATCTTTTATTACAGGTCTCTTGCTGCTAAAAAAAAAAGGGAAAACAAGACCACCACTCTCACCTGTAGAAAAGAGGCAAGTTAAATGGCATCAACCTTCTAAGGAATCCTTGTATATAAATGTTAGGGTGTAGGGTGAAGAATTTCAACTATATTCTTCAGTAACTTTCTCACATAGCTGGAACAGTCTTTTCCATATCTAGAAGATCATGCCTATAAACATTTTGGTCAATTATGGAGATTACCTTATGTAAGAGTGCTCCTTTCAGATGAAAGATTAATAAGCTATTGTAAAAGTACGGTAAAATGTCTTTTACTTTATAATTAATCAATTTCTGATCCCATGAAACTTTAATACCATCTATGGGAAATTAAACTTATTCTAGGTGTTTCCTCATCAAATAAAATTGGGAAAAAAATCTAACAATACTCTTCTAATTCAATAAAATCAAACATATACATTAACAAACTACACACAATATATTATTTTTTCAGGCAAAAGCAATCCCTACCTACGAAGCCAGTTTTATCCAGGGTAATACAACCTACAATAGTTATATCCCAACCAGATAAAGAAATGGCTCAATTCTGTTACAGTAGGAAAAATACAGTATTACAAAAAGCACCCAAAACCAAGCTAACATTTTCTACTTACTCCTGCTTTCCAGGATAATTTTTTTTTAAGAGAAAGAAGACATAAGCATTCCTTTCAACTTGAATGGAAAAAAATAATTACTTGGACCATTATTTTCAAGCCTATCCAAGGTACTAGTAAATGGGCAATGCCAAAATCAACAGCAATTCAATACTGTTATTACTGCAAAGAAAGGCAGATTCTAGGCAATGAACAGAAGAGAAAAACATGTTTTCTTAAATGACATTTCTAGGTTTTAAAATATTAGCACCAATTGTTCACATTAGTTATTCTGGGCAACTCTGAGGAATTAACATTTCCAAACAAAATCAATAAACTAAAGAGTAAATAAGGGAATAATTTCAAAGCTATACTTGCATTCTAAGAACAATTATATAAGATAAAATGACTGGCTCATTTCCAAAGCTATTACTACATAGATTTCCCCAGTTAGGAAGTATGCCACGCTGCTCAAACCATAGGTACAGAACACCTTATTTTCTGATGAAGCAAGATTAAGTAAAACAAGTTGAAAAGATAATGAAATCAAAACAATCTGTTATGAAAATAGTTTTCAATCTCTATTAAAGGAGAAGAAAAAAATAAAGGGCCTAACTGAAAAACTGAAAGATTAACAAATAGTGTCAGTTCAATTCTATGTAACCCTTTATTTATAGCAATATTATCAACATTATACAAGTTTCCTTACTCACACTGGAGCAATTTTATTCTCATAATAGAATTTAACTCTGTAAACGATCCATATCAACTTCCTGCACCTTAATTCATAAACCATCAGATGCTAAATTTCCTAAAAATCATTTTATTTTTAAATTTTACTGGAAACTAGACCTAAAACCAAGTTTTTTAAAAGCTGTTTTAAACATAAATTTGTAGAAATATTCTAGTATCAGTGTTTGAAACAGTTTACAGAAAATTATAAAAGGGCAACTATCATACAAAAGAATTCTATGGCTAGATCTTTTTAGAAATTTTCTTTTTATAAATAAACTTCTTTCATGATAAAGTCAAAAGACAGAGATTTAATTTTCTCCTAAAAATAAGCAGTTACTCAAGATAAGGGTTAAGAGTAGTGAAATCATATTGCTTCTTGAAAAAAAAGAAACATGTTTTAGCCAGGCACGATTCCATTAATAAAACACCATGCCACATCCACTTATGTCTTTTGATCTCTAAGTACTGGCATTATCTAAGAAAACATTTTTGAAGAATTTGGTTAGCAAATCTATCAAGTAGGAATCTTAGGTCCCTTAATTTCAATAGCCATCTTTGTAAATGTAAAACTTTAGCTACTTAAACACTGAAGATTATAAAGTGCATTATAAGAAACACATCGGTAGCGCCAAATTCACTTAGTAGGACTTTAAGGGACTTGTACCATCAACTGGGCAAAAAAACAACATTATAGTTTTCTGTTCAGATTTTATTTGAAATCTAATTCAAACTGTCAAAGCTACAAAAGGGGGGAAGACATCTGTATTATCTTTGCTAAATCACAACATCCTAAAACAAAATACTACTACTGCCAGCAGATCCATTATACATATTTCTGATGAAATTCATTAGCACAGTAAAAATTTCATCTTGAGAAACAGCCACAATGAAAGTAATTTATACAATATAAAACAATGACAGGTCTACAGATGATGCAGTTACTCATGAGTTTACACATGCATTCACCAACAAACAAACAAAAAAAACCCAGGAATGCTCTTTCATTTGATTTTTTTGTTTTGTTCTTTTTTTAAAAAAACAGACCATTCAGGCACAAACAAAATCGCATTTCCATAAAGGGACAGCATGTTAAAAATGGATGTCAGTGTTTGTTTTTCTTTGACTTTTTATGAGACCTGTGTGGAGAGCGGGACTGAGATCTGGATTTCTTCCCTGATTTTTTAGGGGATCTAGACCGCGATCGCCTAGACCTCTTAGGCGTCCTTGAACCAGACGGTGATCTGAAGAAATAAAATAAACCAAGTTATCAAAGGTGCTCAAGTGACTAAAACGGCTTATCCTTAATGGTCTAAAATGAATTCTTAATTCTTAAGAAAGCACAATTAAAAGTCCTAAAAACAAACCATAAATTCCCCAAATTTATACTTTGCCTACTGCACACATACACACACACATCCCAGACATTAACACTTTTTGTACTTACTATGTATTACATCAATGATCATCAGTAAAGCAGCTATTTGAGGTCAGATTCCAGAGCACCCCACACAGCTCTAAGTAAAAATCTCTAGAGATAGGGACTGAAATTTTGCATTTTTAACAAGCTCCCCAGTTAACTGGTACCCCTCAAATTTGAACCTCTAATCTATAAGATAAATTTCAAGATGCTACCTAAGATCAGTCACAAAATTTTAAAAATAAAGCATCTTTGCATCTTATCATCTTAAAAGAAAAAGTTATCAGCTACAATGTACTTTTTTGGGGGGTAGTACCCCCCAAACTGAAATACCTCACACTTGCCAGGCAGGTACCACGCCACTGAGCTATCCCTGGCCCTCAATTATAATATACTTTAAGGATGTCATTTAGAAGTCTATTTTTGTTAAGTGTTTTTCATGAAGAGTCCTAAAATAAGTAAACATGTACACACAGAAATACCCATGCAGGTACACTTAAAGAAAAATGTTATCTCTAGATTTTATTAAAATCTAAATTTTTTTAAGCCAAATGAAACGTTTCTGAACCACTACTATGAAACTAAAAAAATCCTAAATTACATACTGTATATGATACTGAATTACATACTAAAGAAACTACATAAGTGGTATTTACGGTGTTTCCATAATCTCACTAAATTTCAATAGAAAAAAGATGTATCTTTCAGCTTTGATAAAATCTGAGAATACTCTACAAAAACTAAGCATCACAAAGAAAAGTAAAGCACGACGCCATTCCACAACAAACACTAGATATATTTTAAATTTTTCTCTGGTCTTTAACTTGTTGGAAGCCTTCTTATAGTAAAGACAGAGACTGGGTTAGGGACATTGGAAGGATAACCTAAAATGTAAATGTCCTCTATAGTTTTCTAAAATCCTTTAAAAAGTATCTACCAATCATATTATTTTCAAAAGCTGAAGAAATGACAAAGAAATCAGTATCTGAAATATTATTTTAAAAGACAACTTGTAGTTACCTTTTGGTTTTTTTGCTAACATCTCTAGGAGAATCTTTGTGAGATGACCTGGACCGTGAGCTTTCCTTGTGAGATCTTTCTGAACGCTCTGATCGCTCTGATTTTGGTGATGGTGATTTCACTCGTCTACCACTGCTACTGCGAGATGGGCTGGGGGATGTACTGTGCCGTCTTTTCCTATGGAACAAAGCCCTCAAAGCATTCCGTAAGTGAGCAAAGGTGCACTCATTTTCTTTTTACTAAACTAGCTACTAATTCCAACCAGTTTATATTAACTTTAATCTCACTAACCACATTGTTATCTGCCAACATTTAAAGTCTCTTATATCAAAAATATACAAGTCTCTGAGACATGGACAAGTAAATTCAACTATTTTCCTTTGCTATAGAAGAGTTTATGGGGACAATCAACATTTAGTTGAGATTCTCAGATTAGCTAACAGTGAGTGTTTTTGATTTTTCTGAGTTATTTTCATGGTTTGATACTTGATCAAGATTTAATTTAAATGAATATGGCTAAGAGAAAGGCTTCATGCTAGCTAATTACTCTTAAATGGCTAGAGGCAGAGTGGAAAAGAAAGAATAAAGTAAAAGTAAAAAAAAAAGAAATGCGGGTTAAGTATATCTAGGAACTGTTTTTACTACTACTATAACTTTCCTGTAAATCTGAAATCATGCCAGAATTAAAAGATCAAAAAAGTGACAGTATAACCTTTAAGCAACTAGTATAACTACATCTAGAGTGATTAAGCCATAATTCTTTTATCTTTTTTTTTTTTTTTTCCACTTTGGCAAACTTCAATTCTGTTAAGCTTTTTTCTTAAGAGATTTTTAAACTGAAAGTAGGAAATAAGAACAAAGAAATGTGTTTAGAATGAGACTTAAAAGTGAGGAGGAAGTCACTGTGGCCTATGTACACAATCTCCTTTCTAGGCAAGATGGAGACTCAGGTTTACAGGTATACAGCCTCAGTTATGTACAGTTGGAAAAAAATGCCTAACACAGAGCCTACAGGAAGATCTAGCAAGCTGGTTTGTTATTTAAACCTCAGGTGTGATACTTAATACTGTAACTGAATTTCTACACTGACCTAAGGTTGAGGATACCGCATAAACCATGTAAAGGGATGATACCCTAGTTAATTAAACCTAACAGCAGCTCCCTGCCTCATCAACTAATTCTTCCTCCCACAGGCAGGAGTCAAACATATTCACCATGAAAAAACACTTTCAGAAGTTTGGTGGTATCAAAGATAAATTATAAAACAAAGAACCATTCCAAATCTGGGAATTAGTACACATATGAAGAGAAATGTTATACCTTTCTTTCCTTGTTGGAGTGCATTCATCTTTTTCCTTCTTGTCTTTGGATCGAGATTCCAATTTTTCTTTATCCTTCTTGTCTCTTTCTCGTTCTCTTTCTAATTCTTTCTCTTTCTCCTGTTTTATTTTTTAAAGAAAATAGATGATTTAAAAATACCAACGTAACAATATTTTCTCTTTCAGGAAACAGTATTTTATATCACTACTTAATGTACACTGACATTTAAAAAAGAAAAAAATTATCTACCCTCCCAGGGAAACTAGCCATTTCTTCTACTCATACTGAATAACAAATAATACTAGCAAAAGCAGCTAAATATTTCTTGAAGGTTTACTACAGTCTCATCAATACACTGAATACTTTCCCATATATCATTTTATTTCATCCTTTCTGATACCTAGAATTATACAATTACATTCTCTGAGATGAAAAATGAGAATCAGAAAGATGGCATACAATGCCTGTGCTTACACTGGATTATGAAGTTACAATTTCAGCCTAAGCATTAGAGCCAGAGGTTTTCTTCCCCCTGCCCCATCCACCAAAAAAAAAAAAAAAAGAAGGTTAATAATGCCCAGACCTTTCCATCACACACTATAATTAACTATTAAAAAGTGATTCTTCTAACTGTAAGTTTCTTTAAACAAAAAGATCTCTTAAAAGGAAGACTGAAAGGGGAGAAATAGCTATTTCTAAGAATCTTCCATCAATGTTTTATTGGTAAAAAGTATAAAGGAAATTTTACATATCAATCTCTAAAAATATAAATAATTGTATAAAACCTCGGTAGTGTCCCAAATTTTCTGATCAAGAAGATTATGGGGCCAAAGAGGAAAACGATCGATGACGTAGAGTGTGCCTAAGGAGAGTCACATGGGGAGAAAACACTTTCTCAGGCTTTCACAGAGAGCACATTGGCCAAGCAATGGCCGTGACTCATCCACGTGGCTGAACTGACAAAGATTCTACAATCTGAGGTACAGGCTCTTAGGATACCTGAGGGGATTTCACTGACCTTCTCAGACCAAAAAGCTACAACTTTTGTTGCATAGGTCCTGCTTTACCTTGGTCTTAACCATGGTAAAAGTATGAAGATGAAATACAGGAAGTAAAGCCATGCTGCTATGTTGAGCTGTGGGGGACTCAGGCCAATAATTTCTGACATTGCCAGTTAAACAGAAGACCCAATGCTATTATGGGCTACTGGACTCTTTTAGAATATTTTGCTGAGTTTACACACCTATAATATTCAAATAATGGAACTTAGAAAAAAAGGGGTATACCGATGAATGTCCATTTTGTATCTGTGTATTCAAAGTGGTTAGGATAGTTACATTCTCTTAATGAATAGAATGATTTGTTCTAATGGTGTTTGTAAATAGGATCTCAAGTCCGCATCTTGTACAGCAATTAACCACTAAGAATATATTCAGTGTGTTAGTTATTGAAACTGTAAAAAAAAAAAAAAAGAATATTTTGCTGAGTTTACACACCTATAATATTTAAATGATGGAACTTAACAAAAAAAGGGGATACAGATGAATATCCATGTGGTATCTGTGTATTCAAAGTGGTTAGGACAGATATATAGTTACATTCTCTTAATGAATAGAGGGATTTGTTCTAATAGTGTTTGTAAATAGGATATCACGTCTGCATCTTGTACAGCAATTAACCACTAGGAAGAGAGTATGCAATGTGTTAATTATTGAAACTGTCCTACCAATTTGATTTGAAACTGTCTCACTGCTATTTGTTTCTGAATAAAATTATGGAAAAAAAATAATTGTATAAACCAGAAAATTTGCTTATTCACCTTTAGATGTTGTAATAGCACTTCTCATTTAAAATTCTGAGTTCTGCTGATAACAGTATTTAGAGTGATTATAGACAATGAGACTATGAAGCCAATTTCGTTTTTAAGTATCAAGAATTTCTTTATGAAGTATATGCATCAAGAAAGGTAGCTGACAGTTGGCTCTTCTAATTTTTCAAATAATGAAAAAGGCCTCTAGTACATGTAGGCAAACTTTTTTATAGACACCCAAATGAATTTCTCCCTTTCCCTCTATCTTTCTTTCAACCCTCTCCCTAACCACTGTCTATTGGCTGGGACAGGGTCTCAAAGTGTAGTTCAGGCTGCCTTGAACTCACAGCAATCCTCATAACTCAGTCTCCTGACTGCTGGGATTAGAGGCATGTGCCACCACACACATGCTCAGATAAACATTTTTCTTTGTGGAGTACATAATGTCTTTGTTACAACTACTTAATTCTGCCATTGCAGCTTGAAAGCCACCATACTGGGAATCCTTAAGGGGATGATTACACTGTGTTCTAATAAAAGTTTATTTGCAAAATCAAGCAACGGCCATACTGTCCTGCTTTCTGACAAGTTCCTTCAAGAAACACAATCCTTTTTCCCCAATTATGATGGAATGCAAGGAAATTCAGATGGTAGTCATTCTGAACTTGCCACCATAAGGACTATGAGCAATTCAAGGCGCAGTCCTCCACACAGATCAACACCCTGTCACCACACTCAAAGGAATCTTAGAGGTACACACAATTAGCATCTCCAAATACAACAGAGAATATAAATTTAAAAAATAGAAAAATTGGGCTTGGTGAAGCATTCCTGTAATCCACCACTTGGGAAGCTAAAGAGGAAGGGGTCATGACAAGTTTTTTTGGTACCAAAGTTTTGAGGCCAGCATAGGCTACAGGGTGAGTTCAAGGCCAGCCTGAACTACATACTGTCTGAAACAAAACAATACAGAACAGAACAAAACAAAACAAAGCATGCTGCTTGGAGATTAGCTTCCTCTAATGATTAAAGATACATTTTCCTGACTGATAATCAAAACTATTTCCTGACTGAAATGTGTATTTCACAGAAGGCATATCAATAAACTATTTAAATATCTTAAGCTTCCTAGTTCAATAATAAATAATAACTGTAAAAACAGCAGCTATTATATAACAATCTTGCAAAATTGGGACTATCAATACAAATTTCACAGAGAAAAGTCTCAGGTGCACAGCAGAGTGGCAGGAGATTACCTAGGTCTACACAGAAACAACAGTCACTTCACTGGACTACTCTAGGTCGCCAGGCCTGTACAATAGCTTCAGAGTGATCAGAAGTTCATCTCTGTAACTTTTTCCTCTTTTTTACATTTCATTTTAAAATAATTACAGTTAAGTTAAAATAGTAGTCCAAACAAAATTTCAGGGTTCCTTCAACAATCACCATGTGGGGTTCCTGGTTCAAAAAATTCTCTCTATATTCCAGAATGTTGTTACACACAAGAATACAAAGTCCCCAAAAGGTTTAGCTAAAAGTACTACTGCTCCCTGTAAACAATAGGAAAGGAGTCCTGAATTAATTTCTCAACCTCTTCAAAAGCTCTGTATCTTTGTTTCTGTGCCACTTGTCAGGGTTGTTGGTGTCTTACTGTCACAAATGTAACTTTATCTACCAGTTTAAAAGACAGTATGAAAAAAAAAAAAAAAAAAAGACAGTATGTACCCAGAAAAATTAATCTTCCAGCCCATAGGTGGTATCCACAATATAATCATGTGCTATTGCCTTAAGACCTCTTTTCCAAGAAAAAGTTGCTTTAAAATATCAAATTCTTATTATCTATCAGTATATCTACCACTTACACAGTGGATAAAACTGAATTATAGGGGCCAGGGAAATAGCTCAGGACAATAAGCGCTTGCCTGGCAAATGCAAGGGCCTGACTTCAATCCCCAGTTCTGCCCTCCCCCCCCAAAAAAAAAACTGAAATATACTTTCCTAAGTATGCCAATATACTAATATTCTAAGAAGTCCAACAAATAACTTTAGAAAACACACGTTATTGAATATATATTTCTTACTCGTTGAAGAAGTTTATCTCTGTAGTGCTCAACTTGCTCTTGGAAACTCTGTCCTGGTTTTTTAGGTCTCTTTCCAGATTCCAACTCATCTTGAAACTTCATAACTTTGAGCTGCAAAATAACACATTTTTCAGTTAAGTACTTTCTATTACCCAGTTTTCCTATAGCAAAGTAATAACTGGTTAGGACTCAGTCAACATATAACCTCTACATAAAAGTTTATCTGATCTGAAGGCACTTAGTCAGACAAGCCCAGCCTCACAAAATCCGAGTGATCAGACATCAGCCCACATGCTATGGGAGGACTCAAAAACCATGAACTATGTGCATCATATTTATAAGAACTTATTTCTCAACAATAATGAATTTGGACATCTGGTTCCCCCAATTAGAAAAGACATAGTGTCATAAAAGATTTTTGTTTATAAAAGATTTTTTAAAAAACAAAGGAGGTGGTAGTACTGTATAGTTTGCATAGGATTCCTTTAGGATCAAACACAGCTGTTACATCTGAAGATGTTACTATCTGTACCCTGTAACTACTAGATATCCAAACATAACAAAGATTAAACCATATTCAGAATGTAGTTAAGACAGTAATCAGAGTAACTTCTAATTCCTTTTTTAAAAATCATTCATTCTTCTAATCTTAACATCTAGAAATACACATTTGAATACATTTCTCAAATTTCTATGTCTACATATATTTGAGATTATATATATATATATACATATATATTAATTTAAAAAGTCAGTAATACTTTCTAGTATCATAAAATTGCCCATAAATATTTTTCACAGTAGTATGTTACTCTGCAGTATGAATGACATCATTTATTCAACCTTAGTACCTATCACTGGATAGCCAAACATTTTGCTCTAATTCCATTTCTTATAATTTATCTAATTTACCTGTATTTAGAATATTCATGTAAGTACTGTTTGTAAAGTCTAGACTTCTAACAAATCACACACAAACACAGACATGACAAAAGTATATTTACAATGTTATAAATATCTTAAAGCACATACAAAAAAAATTGGTAACATAAGTTACAATGTGAGAAAGACTGGAATAGGTAAGATTAACTTCACTTTTTTATTATACTTTTTATTATTGTTTTTTACTACTATGCAAAAAAATACTAAAGAATAAATTTATGATACATCTTGAACTTAATTTCATGAAATGATCAAGATAACTATTTGAAGGCTTAGCAGAGCTAAGATTGTCGAATAAATTTACAAACATGAGAATACATTTTTCTTGAACTAAGAGAAGCAAAAAAGGTGAAAGTATGAGGATGAGGAAGGTATATGGAGACTGGATGGTTTACTGAGCTACAGTCCCGAACCTGTTTAATCTTGTTTTATTCAAAGAAATGGAGTCTTATCTAATGGAATTGCTGCTAAGGCTGACATCTTACCCTATTTTATTCAAACATTAACATATCCTTCAGGGAGGTTATATGCTACTATGGCACTTTATTTCAAAAATTAAGGCCTCATTTGGCCCCTTTCCCCCTCACACCCGCACAACAAATGAAGCTTTTAACCATGATGGAAGCAAATTACTACCTCCTTCCTTCACCACCCGTGCAAAATAAAGTGGTATATTCCCAATTTCAATTTTCAAGAAAAAGTTCCCCAATTTCTACCTTTTTTCTACCTAATTTCACTTATCAATTTTACTATTACTGCTTTAAGGTTCTTTCTCTTCCAAACATCTGCATTTTTTTCATGTTTTAATAATGGCTACATTTTAAAATTAAGCTGCAAAATATATTTTAAAAAGGAGAATGAAGCCTCCCACTGAGCCATCTCACCAGCCCAACCAAAGTAATTCTGTTCTACAGAATGTATTTCTGGTAACCCAGAATTAAGTATACAAGAGTTAATCAATCTGAATGTTACTTATAGGAAGGTGATATTCCTAGAAAATCATTATAAAATCCCAACTTACAGTTTCTGTTCAAATGGTCTAACTTAGGCTCAAACACAAGTCCAAGAAAAAAGTGATCTCAGGTCTCAACATTAATGTAAGTAGACATGCAATCCAATGGCTCATTAGCTAATGACGCTCTCCACTGCCCTGAAACAATGGCCAGGCATCATCTTCCTGCTGTCAGCATTCATTCACCGCCAGGCACCTTGGCAGAAAAGTATTTTTCTTCTCTAGCAACACAAAATACCCTCCACTTGGATCCTAACTCATGTTAGTTTAAATGAGGACAAAAAATAAGCTACTACTACTCTATTTAAGATCTAAAAACCAAAACTAATCCTCAATCAGCTATTGTTAAAGTGATTTTGCTGAAAATGTCAGAATTCACAAATCCTTTGGTTTTTGCCCATACTAAAGACATTCAGGGCTTTAGGGATGTAACTCAGTGGCACAGTGCCTGCCTGGCAAGCATAAGGTCCTGAGTTCAATACCCAGTACAATACCCCCCCCCAAAAAAATGTTCAGCTATGGGCATCTTTACTGGGACACACTGAGGGAAGGGAATAGCTTTTTAAGGAAAAAAATACAATATATGTATGTACACAATAGTATATAATAAAATTAATTGGAGAAACTAATTTAGAACTTTATTCTTTACTTAATGGTTCTACAGTAAGAGTCTACTCATTAGATTTAATAATTAAATCTAGATTTAATAATGGTTACATAAAATTGACATTTTATATCAAGTTATAAATTTTTCCATAAATTGACATTGAAATTATGGGGTAGAGTAGCTAAGAAAAGCACTGAGATAAAGCTCAAGAGCCCTGAATCCTAATCCAAATTTGCCATCAATATGTACCTTTATTCCATAAACAAGGGAAAAGGACTAGGTAATTCTACAATGAGGTCAAAACCCATACATTTTAAATATGTGAGCTGGCTCACAGTCCAAATGCCAGCAGGACAAGTAAACTATGAGAGGCAGACACTTTGTGAGCAAGAGAAACAATCACTGAGTATATAACAAAGATGGAAGGGGTCAGACTATAAGGCAACATATGTATATATTTACATATATATGTAATATATACATATATAGCCCATACATATATACAAAATGTGGAAATTATTCATAACAACCAGCCAAGTTAACAAAAAGCTAAATTATACAGTTTTATTCTTTAATAAAGAAAAAAAAAACATGTAAAGAAGTATCTCTGCATTTATAGGGGGTCATGCCTTAAGTTATCAACAAAATATAATTTTATTGAACTCTATTTCTACTCTTAATAGTTTCATCAAGTCAGTAAGGCAGAGCATTCAGAAAGATGTAAGCAATCTAGAGTTAAAAAGGGAATTATGAAGGCTTAAAAGGTCCAGAAGTTAAAAAAAAAGTCCAAAAGTGAATATGTGCACTGATACACAGCACCTTATTCCCCTAAAAATCTTATTTAAAAGAAGTATTAATACATTTCAAAACAATGAATCAAACTTAGGAATTCCAAAACTCAGCTTTCATAAATGACATTATGTTGACTGTGTATAGAGTCAGAACAAAATGCTTTGTTAATTTTTTGGTTTGGTGATACTGGAAGAAAAGGTAGACAACCATAATGGTATAGGGGGCTCCTGTACATTTCACTTCTTACATTAGGAACCACTCATTATCTATTTCACCCCATCATTAAAGGTATAGATATTTAAAAATAAGTCTAGTACCAAAAAAAGTAATTTAAATATACCAGAAAACATTTTCTATCTTCCTAGTTACATATTATGTATATTCAAAACGTTAAGGGGTGGGCATGGCAGCAAATGCCCATAATCCCAGCACTCAGGAGACTGAGGCAGGAGCATCACTAGGAGTTTGAGGCCAGTCTGAGCTAAATAGTGAGTTCAAGGTCAGTGTAATAAGCCACACAGCGAGATCATGCCTCAAAAAGAAAAAAATAGGAGTTAGGGAGATACCTTTGCAATCTAAGCGCCTGCCTAGCAAGTGCAAGAACCGGGTTTGCTCCCCAGTACCACATGCTGCACCAGCCCTGGAGCTCCACAAGCACCATGGACACAGAAACCAGGCATGGTGGTACACGCCTGTAATCCTAACACTGGGGAGGCTGAGACAGGAGGATCCCTACAAGTCCAAGCTGCATAGTGAGACCCTGTACCAAGTAAATTAAAAAAAAAAAAAAAAGATTTAAAAAGTTAAAAAAAAATAATTTATTTTCAATGTGACCAGGTACAACTTATTAATTAGAATCCATTACTTGAAAGGAGCTTTTATGCTCCATATACTAGAGATACAATAATGAACAGAAAATAGACGTGGTCTTTTTTCCTCTCAAGGAAACTACAGCCTAGTAAGAAACACAGACATTAAAGAAATAAGGAAACAAGTCAGCAAAAGGACAAAGCACACACACCCCCATCCATACAGAAGCACACACATGTAAATCCTACACAGATAAACAGAAGTAAGCAAGCCTTAAAAAGGGACAGGGAGCAAATCTACAGTCCTCCACTCTACCAGCTGAGCTATTGAAGGGTGCATGGGGGAGCAAATCTAGAAAAGACAGCTATCATGAAAGAAGGCATGCTTAAACTAAGAGGTCTAAAGATCAGCAGGTACAAGGTTTCTAAGCAATCAGGGAATAGCATGTACCTGGGTGTGAGGCAGGAAAGGGATTAGTTTAGTGGAAAAAGGGAAAGGCCAGTGAAGAACAGTTTAAACTTCACTGTAACACAAACCTCAATTTCACGAAGTTTTGCCCGTTTTTCCTCACTCATTTCTGAGTACTTAGAGAACTTAGACTCAGTCATTTCTTCTTTGATTGGATTAGAGTACAAATGATGTTCTTCAGATTTGGAACTTTGAGTATCTTCTTCATCTTCACTCTCTTCTTCTTGACTTTGGAAATAAGCAGAATACATTGTACAGAAATCAGCAAAACAAAATGTTACATTTTATAGTCTGGGCATTGTGTTTTTCACTGTCAAAAAGTTTCATAATGTTTAGCAAAACATATGACAACATCCCTAAAATGTGCAAAACAATTGAAGAAATAAAGATCATTTTGTAAAATTCTTGTTTCCTCCACAAAAAAAAAATTTTTTTTTAAATTTAGGACAGGGTCTACAGGGTGTACAGGGTCTCACTACGAATAATGGGCTCAGAAAGACCGGGGATAGAACCTGGCCACTGTGCTGAGCTAGCTACCTGGCCAGCCACTCCACAAAAAATCTGTGCTTCAACAAAGGCTGCTTACGTGAATGTCATTATGTGCCTCTGATTCTGTAACAAACCTCAACAAGTTATATGAAACAAATAATAAGTTGTACATACTTCAGCTTACAGTGATTTAACTTTAATGTCTAAAAAGCAATTTATCCTTCCTTCAGCAGAACCTATTATTTAAAAAATAAATGACCTGGAGTCATATAAGTTAACACACAACAATCAATGCAGCATAATGAAGACCCTATAATCATTAGTTTGTAATTATAATAAAGCAATTACATTTTAAAGTATCAGTAAACATCAGTACTCATTACAGCTGATTCTGAAAGTTGGACAGGTTTTAAATGGGGAGAGGGTGAGAGAAAAACCTGAGTGACCAGCATCAATAAGTCACAGAGAATACTAAGAAGAAAAATTCCCCTTTTTTCTAGGTATAATCTAGTGGGAATAGACAGGCATAAAGCTAGTCATAGCCCTGAGACAGGATTAACAAAATGTTCTTAAAACAAAGAATTGCTTTTTAAAAAACTTAAAATATAGAACTTATTTTGGGGTAAGGTTCATATACATGTGCTATAAAAGCAAATACATCTGGGTAAAACAAGACATTCATACACAAAATTCCCCACAAAGAATACTGACTTGATAACTGCATTATTGGCATGGCCCAGTATGTATGTATGTATGTATGTATGTGTATATATATATATATATATATATGCCATTTTTGCCTCTAATATTTGAATTTGGTAAGCTCTTAAGTGTTGGTATTTGGGTACTAAATACATTGTACAGTAAAAAAAATATTTTTAGGACACATTTAAAATTATTCATAATATGGAAAGTTATAACCAAATTCTTTTAAAACAAAAATTCAATTATTTTAAAGGATAATTATTAAGCTTATATGCTAAATCAAAAAAATTTAAGCCAGACAGGTAAAAAATGTTGGTAATTCAGAATCAGTAAACATACTCTCTAAAGAGAAAACAACATTAGCTTCACAGCCTCCCAATCAAAGGTTTTTAAAATTTTATACTAACGGCCCCACATATCACTAATTCCAAATACAGGTACAACTTAATACCTTTTCAACACTTTGATAGGGAAGAAAAAATCTAAATCTACTTTTAAACATTTGTCTTTGGAAATAAACTTTTCCATTAGTTAAATTACTTTTTACTAATTTATCATGAACTTCCTCAATGCAGCTTTCAGTTAATTTTTGAATACACAAAAAGTTGTTTTATGGTGCAATTTTACAAGATGCTTCAAATATGTAAAGTAGGTGTAAAAGCAGAGATGCTTACTAAAAAACTACTTAAAAGGCGTCAATCAAGAGGAAGTGGCTTGGCTAATTAAACTGCAGCCTCTATGTAGTGGAAATTACTTGACCAATCCCAGTCTTTTATTTATTTTTTGCAATTACAAGTATTCCTTGGCAAATACACATTTACCTGAATGTTCTAGTCACAAATGAACACTGAACAGGTGAAATACATGGAACAAGCACCACAACACTTGTGTGCAAACATGGCTTGCACAACAGCTCGTGGAACATTCTATTATTTATATTTATATGGATTAGCAAAGATCTAGGTCACTGGTAGTAAACACCGATTGTATATATCAGTACTTTTAAATGAGCTGTACCACTTTTATTTTTAAAGACATACATATTTTAAAATAGCTATCATAATTTTTCAAGGCTGGAGTAATAGGAATTGGTTTTAGCCTTGGCTTATTACTAATTCTAGGGTCAGATCTCACCACTGCTTCCTGTTGTACTTTAAAAAATTGAAATTCAACACTCTAAACTCATACCAAATTCATTACAAATTAAATTCTTCTATAGGTATTTTTCTGCAGAGTACTAGTAGTGCTGACCTTTTTCTAACAATCACATTTCTGCTACAAATATTGCAATTACTAGTTATAAGAAGCAGCATTATGTAAAAAGGTACTTTTAAACTCAACCACTAGAGAGTAGTACTAAGGCATAAGACAATTTCAAGGATCAAAAAATTACACAGCTTTCTCCTTGCTTTGTACTTTCATAGTTATTTTCTTTATTGTCGCTGTTTGAGAAAGCATCTCACTGTAATTCAGGCTAGGGATGAACTCATGGCAATCCTCCTGCTTCAGCCTCCCTAGTGGCTGGGACTATAGGCGTGCACCACCATGCCCACCTCAAAAGTTAATTTTATATTATCGTGACTTATTTAGCTTCTCAGAAAAATAAAAATACAAATTATGCTTCTACTTATTCATGCTTCTATCAAAGTATAATTATCGCAACAATATTAAAATACATTCATATTCTAACATTAATACAAACATCAACTTAAAGCCCCCAAAACCTTAATACTTGCAGATAATGAAAATCTGAAAAAATACAGTTTTAGTTCTTTGATGGCTTTTATACTTCTTCCCTCTAAATTAAATACCACTTCGTAAATAAAATACAGATTGTGAAGTGGTGAATCCATAATTATGAGATGTTATTAAGCATAAGACTATGGACATAAAATATTTCCAATTCCTGTATTCCTCAGTAATCTCAGATTACTCATTTCATTAAAAAGCCACATCTCATTCTTGTAGTAACTACTGTCAATTTGTTCTGATCATACCAACATTTTGGAAAGATATTACATGTGACAGGTTTTCTTCATAGCAAACTGTTGTTTCTACAAATTAATTGCTAACTGATCACATTTCCTTAACAATTCTTAACAATCAAGAAATCTATCTAATGAATTCACACAAATCCTCACATTGTACTAGGACGAAAAAGGACTTTCTCTTTGTTCCTTCTTCCATTTGAGAATGAAACAATACAGAAACAACAACAAAAGCTTTGTATGGTATTCCTGATAGTGTTCTCTATTAAAAAAAAAAAAAAATTCCTTTGAAATCGTATTTTTAAAAGTGTCAAGCACTTCTTAAAAATTACCAACATGAATTTACAAATTTTGGGAGTGAAGATTCTTATAATCACAGTGTCAAATGATGAAAGAATTTTGGAGTGATTACTAAGAGCTAAATCAAAATTGTAAGTTCTCTATACTGCAAAGAAAATGTTTTCCCTTGCTTTCACTTTTAGTTTTTAAAGTATTTACAGTTAAGTAACCGAATAGCCATTAGGCAGTTTTTCTTAGCAATATATTGCCCAAAAGGAAGAATATAACCTTCCCACTTACATTTTAAAAATCAGTTTTTGGGAAACTCAAAACAATATTTGATGACAAAGATCTGAAGAAGACATAGTTGACCAATTAGTAACTACAAAGTGAGAATGTATAGCCTTGCACAGGAAATAAACTCCAAGGCAAAGATGCAGGAAGACCAGAAACTAGAAGCTCTTTATTCACTGCAAGAACACTGGAGAAATAAAAATGATCCTCTCACAAGTTTTTTTTTTAAAGTGAAGTTTTCCTCTTCACTATTATTTCAACTATACCTCTTAATGAAAAAAGGAGTGTATTGTACATGCAAAAGAAACCAAATATATTTGAAACTTAGATTCTTACTTTTGATTTTCTTCTTCTTCTGATTCTTCATGCTGGTCAAATAACTCCCACTTAGAAGTTGTTACAGCTGAATGGAAGGAAAAGAGGATGTAATTCCATAAGGTAAATTAGCATTTCTAAGTAGAAGCCCAGCTATAGAACTGAAAGTTTATATTATGGAAGTTTTTATCTGTTTATTCTTTGAATAGCCAATTCTAGGTGCTAAAGCTTTCCATCTTTACATGTACACTATGATTTCATTCAAATTCAAGTGACAAAAATTTTTGTTTCCCTATCTGATACTAAGATTTATGTCATTATGACCCATAATATTAATAATTAAGTATTAGGTTACGAGTACTAGGATACAAGCTATGTGGGAAACTAAATTATATCAAGATCTAGTAAGTATCATGAGAGGGTCAAAGTTTGATTTCTCTGAAATAAAACTCCAAGTAAATTTCCAAACAGGCACAACTTCCCATTTACATTTCTACTGAAATGCCTTAATGTAAAAGGTTTTCAGGGATTTCTCTTGTTACTCTCAAAGCTTTCAAACCAAAGGATTTAAAAAAAATTATTAGAGCACCAACCACAATGAAAGCTTGCATTAGACACTAAATATGATAACACTGGGCTTTAAAGCTGAAACATATATAGTGTTTCCTAAAATATAAAATGAAAACACAAACACAGAGACACCAATCATTGTAAAGTATTCAATTTGTTAAAGCTGAATATTCACTTTTACTCACCCTGTGCTTCCAATTCAGATTCATCAACAGCTTCCCATTTTGATGGAGCAACCTTAAATATAGGCTCATTCTTCTTGGAGTCTTCTGTTGCATCCACTGTTGGAGAAAGATGAACCATTAAATGACAGACTGACCTAAATTAATGGGCTTAGGTTTATTTACTAAATTATTAAAAAGCAAAAATTCAAAAAAACATTACACACAGAGAAAAACACAATGATTCCCCCCTACTCCATAGAGGAAAAAATTCCAAGATTTCTAGTGGATACGGGAAACCAATCAAATCCTATTTTTACTGTGTTTTCCTATACCTGCATAGTTATGAAAGTTATGGATACAGTAAGTAATGAATATAATCATAAAATGGAGGGACTACTGTACATATCAACTCAGAAAATACAGATTAACATTTTAAGCAAATAAAGCTGAAAAGTAAAACAACCTTAAAACAACTTTACCTGACCATTGTGTAAAATATAAAGTTTGCAATTTAAAACTTTAACGTAATTTTAGGCACCTAGGAAAATTCAAGCTTATGTTGGAATAAATAAAAACACAACTACTAAAACCAGGAACAGTACCTGGCATTGTGAGTGTAAGTGATGACAAGATTTTACCTATAATTTCTGACAAAACCAAAAGAGACTTGCTAACCCCTCACCCCAAGGAAAGCACCTATATAGGAGCATTTTTCTTGGCATAGTCAAATGTATTACTGGGTATCTGAATTTTAAACTCACAGCGAGGCATGGTGGCACATGCATGTAATCCCAGCACTCAGGAGCATCTCAAATTTATCCTAACTGGACAACTTAGCAAGAGTCTGCCTCAAAAACTTAAAGGCTGGGATGTAGCTCAACAATTAGTAATGACATTTCAGGCATAAACAATATTTTTCCATATCAGCGTGTGTGGCAATTAAAGGTTTTGGTAGTTAAACTATTAGTGAGATTTAACATTTGAAATTTGGACTCAGTCAAGTGTGGCAGTGCACACCTATGATCGCAGTGCTTAGGAAACTTAGGCAAGAGGATCACTAGGGGTTCAAGGCCAGCCTGAGCTGCAAAGTGAATTCAAGCCAGCCTGAACTTCATAGCAAAACCATGTCTTAAAAAGATCAAGGAAAAGAAAATTTGGACTTACAAGGCACTCCATCCAGATCATCATCAAGATTTTTTATAGGAACTCCATCGAGATCATCAATGGGAGTAGCATCAATGGGAATTCCATCCACATCTTCCAGAGGCGCACCATCAAGCTCTTCCTCAATGGGAGCACCATCAAGATCATCTGGTACATCCTATGAGAAATGTACACTACCATAACATTCTTCTTTGCTTGCTAAAGTCACATTGCTATAAGACTACAGGCTGGATACCCATATTTCCAGGTATGATGGGGATACAGTTCAGTGGCTCAACCTCTTGCCTGACAAGCACAAGGTCCTGACTTCAATCCTTCATACTCACCCCCCCAGTTTGCCAAAGAAGCAATTATCTTTTTAAAATCTGTATTAGTATGTTTGTGATATACGAAGTTTGCATCCATCTTATGCAGTAGATACATGTACCTAATATAACTTGACTTTTTAAATTCTCTCTTTTTCTTTTTTTGGTGGAACTGGGAATTGAACTCAGGCCCTTGCGCTTGCCAGGGAAACGCTTATTCCACTGAGCCATCTCCCCAGCCCCCGACTTCCTAAATTCTCATTCCTGTTTCTACAGCACCTTCTCCATTTTATTATTATTGTCATTATTATTTAAGCAGCTATCTTCACTTTATTTATCTAATATTTACCAAGTACTAATTGGCGTCAGGGATCATGTGAATCAAAGAACAAACCCAAGTTTGTATTGGTCTGCTCACAAACTTCAAAACGAAGGAGAAACACCAGGAAAAAATACATCCATTTATAAAACTAAAAAAAAAAAAAAAAAAACAGCATGCTCTGGAGCACAGGCCAATTAGGAAGCTCTTGCAGGAATAAAAAGAATACAACAGACTTGAAAAAAATCAAAAACTATTTAGGAGATTTTTTTAAAAGGCAAAAAAAAATGGTGATGAACAAAATCTTGCTACCTCTGTGTGCTGTGCTGCACCTTTTCATAGATGTAATATTATTTTTAACAAAGCAAAATCATACTACATATACGTGGTCCCCAACTTGGGTTTTGGGTTTTTTGCGGTTTGGTGAGATAGGGTCTACATGCTGTCCAAGATGGCTCTAAACTCTCCATTCTCTTGCTTTAGCCTCCCAAGTAGCCTGGACTACAGGAGTACACTATTATACCCTATGATGATTTTCCAAATTTACAATGAAAGCGACACATATTCCTAACAAGTGTACTTCAAATTTTTATCTTTCCTTAGGTTAACACTATGCAGCACGATACTTCTGTGATTCTGGGCAGTGGCAGCTAGTCATAGTTCCCAGTCAGCCACTAGATCACTAGTACTCTGTAGAGCACTATACTGCCAGCTATTTCTTGACTATATATAGCTATTTAAATAAGTTATATGAAACACTCAACACTTCATTTAAAACTTTTGTATTAGATGATTTCTGCCCAACTACAGACTAATTTAAATGTTCTGAGCACGTTTAAGATAGGACAGCTAAGCTATGATGTTCAACGGGTCAGGGGGATTAATGTATTTCCAACTCACGATATAGTCAACTTATAGTGGGTTTACTGAGACCCATCAGACATCAAGGAGAACCTATATATTGCTTTCTATTAATACACACCTTTCATGTCCAGCCACTAATTTTCATGTAAAAACAAAATGTAAAATTACTGCTGCATGTATAATTTTGACTCCTAGGTTTCAATAACCCTAACAATAAAAACCCATTATCTTGGCACAAACAGAAGGTATTTTTCACAAAGAAACAGTGGAAATACTTATCTATATTACATATCACACCATAGTGCTCTACTTTCAAAAACAAATTTCAAACAAATAAATACAGAGTACCTACCTCTGTTTCCTTTTCCTCAATAATATTTACAAGTCCTAAGAAAATATTCTGTAGTTTGATCAAAAATGGTTCTGGATAAATTGCCCAATCTTCCCATGCTCTGAAGCAAGTCATTACCCGTTGCTAAATAAATGGGAAATAAAATAAGATAATGAATTTTAGGGGAGAATGTCTCAAATTTCACAAGAATGATCATCATGATGTGCTAAGTTTTCTTTTAACAACGCTTTTAAAATTTAATTTTTTGAGAGGGCAGTACTATGAATTGAACTGAGTGAGGTACATCCCAGCCTTTTTTTTCCTTTTTTAAAATGAGTCAGAGCCTCACTAAGTCACTAAATTTCCACGAAGGGCTTGAGCTTGCACTTCTCGCGCTTCAGCCTTCCAGAGGGCTGCAGTTGCAGGAATGTTTCACCATATTCACTAGTCACCTTTTATTTTTAAAAGGATTAATGTCACCTTCTCATTAAAGGGGTAACAAAGCCCTAAGAAGTAATAGGGGACAAAAGATCACTAACTGTTTTTTACCAAATAAGGTCAACTCCGATACCATTTGTTTGTACTAAACATGAGCTGCAATCTGGGAAACACAAAAACACTACAAAAGCTGAAAATCAAAGTAGCCAGATTTTTAATCTAAATCCCTATGGCCCAATGAAATACTTTCTGATTCTAACACTTTTCTCTGCTCCTTCCCTAAACTTTTCCAGAAATTACTAATTTATGAACTTTTCTTTTCCTTCCAAGACAGGTTCTTGCCATCCATGAAATTCAGGCTGGTCTTGACCCCATGGTGACCTCAGATTTGCAGTGATCCTCCTGCCTCCACCTCCTAAGTGCTGGGATTACAGGCATGCACCACCACATCTAGCTATGATCAAAATTTAAGATCAAAAATGTTTATTATAGATTTGTCAGAATGCCCTAAATGATACAGTCACAGGTCATCTTTTCATACTGAAAAATTTTCTTAATGAAATCTTCCCATGAAAATCTCTACTCAATTGTATGTTTTTTGCTTTGTCTGGCTTTTCTTTTTTTTAAAATCTATTTATTTGGTATAGGATCTCGGTATGCACCTTAGATTCACAGTGATCCTCCTGTCTCAGCCTCCACAGTTCTGGGATTATAGTCACGTACCACCACGCCCAGTCTCTGTGGCCAGCTCAGCATGCCTGGAGGCAGAGCCAGCATAGCAAGTGGTGCTGAGGATTGAACCTGGGTGTTTGTGCTTGCCAGGCAGTCAGACCTATCTCCCCAGCCTCCTGTTTGGCTTTCCTTAACACTGGTCTATACTACAGCTTAAGAGGTTTTTTGAAAAATCAGAAATTGAACAATTGAGACTGGGTGTGGTGGCACATGCATGTAATCCCAGTACTTGGGAGGCTATAAACAGGAGAATCACTACAAGTCCGATCTACATAGTGAGACCCTATAGACCCTGTACTAAAATTTAAAAAATAAATTTAAAAAAACTAATATTTAAAACATTTAAATAAACACTTAATACTAAATACCTGACAATATAACACTAGTTAACATTTTTAAGTCTCTTATACATTTTCATGAAAAAGGTTAAGATGACAGGTGAAATTCCCAACAGTAATTTCAAAAACACACAAGTTTTAAGTGATGCCTTATTTGTCCAATATACTCTTCCAACCTTCCAATGACCTCCACCTCTATTTAACAGGGCAAAAATGTAAAACATTCACGTACCTTAAAATTCTCAGATTGTAAATGGCCTTGAATTGTACGATAGGTAGCATTAAGGTCTGAAAATATCTGGCATAACTTTGTTTCAAAACTGAAATTCAAATAATACATTAAGTAACTGTTTAAAAAGTGATACCCTCCTCAGCATGCTAACCAATAAAAACTCCTCTGACTTATTTATAAATCACAAAATCCTTAAAAATAAATAAGTAGGTAATTAAACTCAAAAAACTGAATTGCTTTTACTTCTACTATTCTGAATTTTCTTCAGTAAATTTTCAGTACTCAATCTCTTCACTAGTCAGAGACTAACAGCAGAAATCTGAAATCAGAGTGGGCCCCAATTTCCAATTTCCAATTTCTTTTCAAGAGTCAATCCCTTTCCTTGAGCCTACTCAATAAAATAAACAGAAAGGGAACTGTAAGGAACCAAAGAATAGTTTACATATTAATTATAGCACAGCAGCAAAGTTTCCTACTGCCTTTGAAATTAACAGTGAAAAACAACACTGCTGTGATTAGAAGAAAACAAAGATGCTATAGTTAATCTTTATCTTTGATCTCCTTTATATTTGCCATTATTTATACTATTTCAGTTTATTGTACAGTAGCTATCTATGCAAAGAAAAGTTATTTTTGAACTCCACCTATCTGTTCTATTGGCAATAATTAAGACACATATAAAATGAAACATTTCCAAAAACTGGTAATTTAGCTTACAGTTCAAAAAAGCAAGCCTATTACTGAAAGAAGTTCTACAAACCATGAATAAATTTAAATTATTTACTAATAGGAAATGGTTTAAAGAAAAAATTTTTCTGTCTTTTTGAGACAAGGTCTCACTATACAGTCTAGGCAGGCCCTGAACTCAAAGCAATGCTCCTGTCTCCACCTCCCCAGTGCCAGCATTACAGACATGTACCACCACGTCTGGCAAAAATCCTCTTTTCTCATGCTTAACCCTTAAATATTCTATTTTAGAGTATCAACCTACATCATTGTACTTACAATTTTCTATAATACGAAGCATTGGCAACTTTGGCTGAAGAGTTGTACAAAACGTCAGAAACCAAATATAATCTGGCAATCTGTAATTCCAAAAGACAACCCAAATGGTTTAAAAAACAGCAACTAATATATGTAGAAATTCTGTATTTTCAGTTCTTGAAATCAGTGGCATATGGCTAACATTTAGTTCTAATTTAAATAATTATTACTAATTAGAAGAGTTATATGAAATTCAACGTCACCACAACCATGACACTGGCAGGGACAAAATCTATTACCTCGCTTACATTTCAATTTACTGACAACTTTTACGTCTATGAACATAACAAGTTTCCTACACAGAAATAACATAGTTACATGGAAAAGACTTCCCCAGTCAAGCTCTTCACGCAAAAAAGGAATCAATTTCAATCCGGAAAAATGTCAACCACTTAATTCTGCCACTTTCCTAATTAAATATGTTCTGAAAGAGGAATCATTGCCATACCTTTTTAGGAAGAGGTGTCTTTAAGATGGATAATGATTCAGTAATGCAATCTACTATTTCTTCAGCAGCTTCAGCATTATTAAGACAGAAAACCATTGCATCTCCGATGTCATTTTTCCTCGGAGTCAATCCTCTTAAGATTTCCTCTAATTTGTCCCTCTGTCTGAATATAAATTACTACCTTGAGTATTTATAGGTATAACTTTCAAATGCAATTATTAGATTGCCATTCTGAAGACTTCAATTCTTTGTCTTTCAAAACAGTTTTTGAAGAACTCATACAAAAATGAATGCTTTTCTTAGAACCAGAAGTTTTCAGTGTTTTTTTTTATTTTTTAGGTTACAAATTGCATAAATTTAAAATAATGAGCATTGTTCCAAATCTTCAAGAATATCTCAATCCTCCCTAGTGTAAGAACTCAAAAGAAAAAAAAATTGAAAGGTGTAACACTTAAATGGAAAGTGAGAATTTAAGGATTAAACAATGAAGAGAGAGAAAGGAGAAAAGTTAAGAATTGTGGAAGGGGCGAAACCATACGTTTATATAAACAAGATGGTTAAGGCAATGGTCCTAAGAATCTCCAACAGGTTTTTGAAACTAGCAGTTAATGGGTAGAATTCTCAACCTAACTAACTCTACATGCTGGTATCTGTGAACTAAGCAACCAAACTGAGAAAAGCAAAGTATAATACTAAAACCATGCTTGAAATACCTATCATTTTGGTCTTCTAAATGCATACTGCTTCTAATGTCATATCAATCAATGCTATACTCTTTAAAGTAAATGTTTGTGGGAAAAAAAAAAAAAAAGAATACCTCAGTCCTATCCCATAACCATGAAAAAGAAAGTTTATGCTCTATTCTCCTCTGAAGGAAGTCTATTACTTTAGCACTTCGTCATGT